AATCCACCCACTGATTATTTCCCAGATTAGGGTGTTCACTACAGTAAATTTAGAAAACTCCAAGATTATTGCATGTCTTCACCACCACTCATCATTTATTTATTTATTTTGTTCTACAAAGCTAAAGAAACATGGTCAAGAAATGATCTTAGTTTAAGAAATAATATGATAGATGTCTTATGAAATATTTTTTCCCGTTACCCTATACAAGCGAGGGGGCCATAAATATTTTATTAGGGAACAAGAATTTTACCTGCTCCACCATGGAGAGACATCAGCACTGCATCTATGAAATTGGTGTAATTGATTCGACTCTCTGTGAATTTGGATCATAATTTTATTTTTAAAAATATCTATAATTAATATATATATATATATATATATATATATATATATATCAATATAATAAATTTTATATATAGTTGATTTGTTGCCGGCAAAATAAAATCCGCCTTGAACAATCCTCCACTTCCTTTCTTGTGATTTTCTCTCTAGAAGAAGAAAGTGTGTCAACAATATATATATTTATATATTTAATATAAATTCGTTGATTTCGTCGTTATTTAGTAAAATTACTATCTTGCTTTATCCAATTGTTTGAAAGCAACATAAGAAATGACCGGTGTCGCTACCGACGGTGACATTTCATCGTCGTCTGTAGTTGAATCGAAGGAAGAAGAAGAAGAAACAGCGGTGAAAGAAACAAAGAATCAACGAGTATAACAAAAGCAAGAAGGAATTAAAGATTGCATGCACAAGAGTGAGGCAATTCAGTTCTTAGGTCGTACTACTCCCATTATTCTCCAAAACGACAATGGACCTTGCCCTTTCCTCGCCATATGATATCTGTTCAGGAGCAGGAGAATCGTGTTCTTGGGACAACGTGAGCACTCCATCAGAAGAAGTCAAAGCAGAAGGTGCTACATACTTCTTTCTCATAGGTCGAGGTTTAACCCTTGCTTGTTGGACAACAACTTTCAATATGTGGACACTAATTTTCGTCTATACATACATATATATATATATATATATATATATTACTTAAAATAATACATGATTTTTTACAGGCCCAAAGTCATTATAAATGTGTTGATCCATTACACGCCAAGTCCAACAGTAACCCAGATGCAATACACTAAACCCGACAGACAGCCCAGGACCGCGAACTGATCCACTGAAACCAGACTTGAATTGAAACAGTTAGGGTTTTCAGAACCCTAACTCTCACCCTCCTCAACGCCGCAAGCCACTAGAACCAGTCAAATCAAGGACTCTTGGAGAGTCCTCACACCTCGCGCCGAGACCACCATCCCCGATATTTTCGACAGCATGGTTTCATGGAACAAGAACAACCAAGCAAAGCAAGCATTTTAGTTTCAATAGGAAACACTAAAAATTACATATTTTAGAGTATAAATAAGCATGTAACCACAATATTTTACACATGAAATACGAGAGAAAGCATTCAAGAAATCGGAGGCAAAAATTGTGATATTTTCGAAGCGAAAATAAATAGAAGAGGTACTTTTTTACCTATTTCGGTTCGGCTTTGCTTGCATGTGACTTGGATGTCCTCATTTTTTTCTTTTTCTTTTTTGTTTCGAACCATCGATGATCGGGGGAGGGCGATAGAGAGTTTCAAACTCAGATCTAGTCCTCCCCGAGGTTTTTTTTTTCAAAAACTAAAGATGTTTTTATGACAAGGGTGAAAAGATCTTTAAAAAATGCAAAAAAAAAATCCACCACCGCTGATGAACGGCGGCCGACGAGGCAGTGGCTGGCCGGTTTTTGGGTTGGGGTGGCAGTGTTTTTCATTTGATGAAGAACACCATGAATATTTTCAGAGAAAATGTGGGGGGGGGGTTGATCGATTTTGAAGCAAATGCAAAAAATGAAAGTTGTTTGTAAAAGTTGGCATTTATAGCAACCCGCCGCCCGACCCGTGACCCGGTCCATATACCCCTAGGATCAGCGTGTTTTTGTAAACAAAGGGGGTAATCTCACTTTTAGTCCCCCGTATTTTCAGAACGTTTATCTTGCCCCCGAAAATTGATTTTTACCTCGAAATACTTTTAATTTTGGCCACCTAATTTATTTTTGTTTCAATTTAGTCTCTTTTATTTAATTTATGTTTTAATTATTATTATTTATTTATTTATTTATTTATTTTAACAATTATATATATATATATATATATATATATATATATATATATTTGTTTCTTTTGTTTCTTGTTTTTACTATTTTTTATCTAACATTTTCATTTACATATATATTTTTTTAATTTTTTTGTATTTTTTTCCTTTCTTTTCGTTTCTGTTTCATATTTATATCTTTTTTATTACTTTTTGTTTTCCTTCTTTTGTTTCTTTTTTTATTTCTTTTATTTTCTTTTAATTTTTATTTAATTTGTTTTTTTAATCTATTTTTTATTTAGTTATTTTATTTTTATTATTATTATTTTCCCTTCTTTTTGGGTTTTCTATTTTATTATGTTTCATTGTCATGTTAATATCGTTTCTTTTGTATTTTAATTTATCTTTTTATTTTGTCCCCTCTTTTCAACTTAACTACATTTATGGGTATGTTTTTTTTCATATTTATTTTTATGGGTTTATTTGTTTTTTTATGTTTAAGGTACCATAATGTAATGTACATTTTCTCTTCTAATTTGTTCAATGTTTTTTTACTTTATCAATTTAACATTCTCTTGATTTTTAAGGTCATTTAAATCCATCGGATGTAAGTAATTTGGATCATATCTTCGATAAAGATGTAAATCAGGTAAGATGGTGTCAGATCAAGTTAAATATTGTTTTTAAATAATCGGTGGCGACTCAAACCATTTCATTTAAGTCAAAGCCCAATTTCGGACCCACCCGAAAGATAGTCGTGACACAACCAGTAACCATGGGGTAATTTCGAAGCCACCTTGACAGTGCAAACCGACGTGCTATGGCCAATAATCCCAAACTTATAGCAAAAGCTTGGAAGGCGTTCGAACTTAAGTGGGCACGCACGTGGTTTACCAGACCCAAGTAATACGCATCTACGCAAGGGCTTGGTAATATTAATCTCAACCCTAACGCGAAGAAAATCACCTCCCACGTCCACCGGTCTCATATCAACAGCTATCACTGTCCCAATGCTACCACCTAAAGCCATTCCCATAGATTTGGACATGTACCCTAACGGTAGGTTGTAGTTGCGAACCCAGACAGCAATCATATTAAAATCATAATCATCCAATCCTTTCATAGAATCGTAAGGTAACAAAGAGAATAAGTCTCCATCAAAAGTCCATGAACTCCGTTTAAGAATGACCTCCAGCACTTCATCTGAACAAAGCTTGACCTTGAAGAACCGGTCGCCAAGTTCCAAAATATCGTCAGCCTTGTGCCTACCCCATACAGCACGAAAGACACGACCAAGGGCAGCACCATCTACTGATTTCTGGGAGAAAACCTTCCCCATTAAACACGGCCTAAATCAGTCATGTCCTCCGCATCAACGGTTCCCTGAGCAGTATGATCAGCCATGGTAAAAACAATGTGAAAGAGAAAAATAAACTCATGATGCAAAGGCCCAGAACTAGAGGTATATATGCCATAGAAGAGAAGGGGAGAAGGAGTGTTGTGCTCCGAAATCCCAGCCAAGTATTGAGGAAAAGACAATACTGGTAGGACTAGGATTCTTAACCAAATCAAAATACGGTACTGAGGAAAAAGCCAGGAGATCAAAGGGGGCACACAAAATGTAACAGCCAACCAGATAGTGAAGAACCACTTTTTCTGTAAACTATTGACTGTAGTTGTCTTTGAACTGTCGGTCTATGCTTGGAACACTTGAGCAACTTGATTAATAAACCAATTTAAGAACCAGTTTTCTTGGTTTTCCCTACGCTAATTATTTCTGTATTCATAGAATCTCATTTTATTTGCAGTATGATGGTGAACTCTATCATTTAGCTACTGATCAAGGCGATCTGAATCAACCGGATTTGGTTTGGGAGAAACTAAATGAGGTAAGCTTTTGTTGTTAAGTTGTAATCTTCTTAGCCAAGAATCACTTCATTGAAATTTGGGTGTCATGTATAAATCTAGTCAATATTAGTAAGGTGGATAATGTACATCATTGTTACTTTGGAAGCCAAATCTTCTTCGAAATTTGATATCCAAAACTCATGCTTTCAGGTCAATGGAGACACTTTTTATGACCGGCAACTTCAAGGAATTCAAGGTGGATGGTCATGCTACCAGCACTGATGTATATATTTCCCTTTGGCGATAATTTTGACGGTTTGAATGACTTCAATGAAACCTTACCGAGATTTACATGATGCAGGACTACAGCATTGATGGCTCACCGCATACAGGAGCAGATGAAATGTAATTATCTCCCCTTTTGGTTCTGAATTTATATTAGTAACAGGTCCAAAGGTACTCTATCCCCTCTCCTGGCTAAACATTCTTGGATAACATTCATCTTTGGATCTGATAACTGATTCTTGAAATCTTAAAGCATTGTGGTCTGATAACCTACATACCTATGTTCAAACATGTCTCGACACAAATGTCGTATACATATATAATATTCGTTATATAAAATGAATTCTGATAATATTCGTTATATAAAATGAAGAAATCAAATAACATAAACTGAAATGACGAGAGTGGCATATTGCAGGTGTTGCAAAACAGTGGGACTCTTCGCCTTCATCGTCAAGGCAAGAGACAAAATCGAAAGAAGTGTATCATGATGTGAATTTCAAGTTTACATCATTTGGCAAGTGTTTTATTTTTTCTGGAAATAGTTTTGTATTTCGACACCAATAATGAATTTAAATGTTTTTCCACTACCGGCACAAGAAATGTGGATATAGATAATAAAATATTTAGATGTTAAAATCCAAATAACAATTATGATTATCCGACTCTAATATTATCTAAATCCCCATTATTCAAGTTCACAAACAATCTGCCCCAACTCTGAGGGAAAGAACTGAACGAAAGAGATTTGTATTACTCTAATCTCTGCTTAAAACTCAAACAAGAGGTTTTGTATACCACATTGAATTGAGGATCAAAACATAAAACAAGTTTTTGTGAAAGAATAGGGAACTACCATCTTCACGTATGAAGCAATGTTATTCCGTTATTCCGGGACCCACTTTCTCAACATCAACTTCTCCCATGCCTGTGTCTTCCTCTTCTTCGCTGTCTTCGTCTCCACTGACCTCTTCATTATCGTCACGCAACTTAGCCATGTGCTCGGCGAGCAATTTATCGTCCCGTTCACTCACCTAAATCAATGCACCATGCGAGACACATGTAAAACAGAAAAAAAAATTAAATTTGAAATTAAAGGATGGTCACTCACCGCCCTAGGCTGCTCCTTGACAACAAGTTTTCCCTTGTGATGCTCTATTGCTTCGCTGCAAGCTGCAATGGCTTTATTGAGGACAACTATTCCTTGGTCCTGACCAATACAAATTTAAACAAAAATGAAAATGTTAAACAGACACGAAAATATGTTAGGGAACTATCAACATATGACTAAGATGTAAACAAATGTTAATGATGATAACTCCGGCAGGGACAAAATTTAGACTGTATCCAACAAGATTAACACATTCATAACAGCATAGCGTGTTCATGTGAATGCTTCCAAAGCAACTTCTAAGGCATCTTAGACACATTAAGCTAACCTTGTCAAGAGTTTGAGTGGTAAGAACATAAAGGGGAGGAGCCACAAGCTTTATTTTAACAGGACAGTCATCATTCCCAGCAGCCTCGGCTTTGCGCATGCCCTCCTTCAAATTTGACAACAAATATCTATAAACCAACAACAGAGAATACACACACACGCACACAGAGAGAGAGAGAGAGAGAGAATTTCACCAAACAAGACCTTATGTGAAGAACGCCATCAAACTGGAAACATTTCATTTCAATATCAGCCCGAATCTTCAGAGGTTGAGGAGTCATTCTTCTCTTAATGTTTTTCACCAATGCATCTTTGACTTCCTCAGTCACAGCAGGAACCACTTCAGTCACCTAAAGAGAGATATCATTAGAGACTTAAATCGGCTGAACAAATAATGTTTCATGCATCTCACAAATTGAAAATTTACCTCCTGTCCGTCCGGGCCGGGTTTTTTGACTTCACAAGTGAGGGTGTTCAAGACAGTATCAGGATCAGTCACAATGATTTTGAAAGCCTGAAAAACATTTTTTTTAAAAGAAAAAAATTAAGACCATGATAAGAGATAAAAACGACACTTAAAAAGAAGGCAGCTTCATACCTCAAAAGCATGCCCATATTTCCGGTATAGAGGCCAGCCAATTTTAACATATAATTCCTGTCACACATAATAAGTGTTAGCGACTTGCAAGTTGATGACAAAATCCCTTCTAAAACTGGCTATTTCTGGAATGAAACACAGAGATTGTTGCTTCTCCTCGTAAAACTCATCTCACAAGCTTTGAAATCTTCAGCTTGATCATTGAATTCTTATTTCTAGATGATTAAAACATGCAGATGCTTGCTTCCCCTCATTGCACTCACCTCACAAGCATTGAAATCTTCACTTTAATCCTTAAATTCTCAACTCTTTTTTTTTCTTAATTGAAAAAAGGTAACAGGTTTCATATACAGCATAATCCAAGTTACCGGCTTTTCAAGATTTTACTCAGAAACTTTATTAAAACTCAATCTGAAAGTCACCAAACTACGGCATCTTCGACTAAAACACACTAAGGAAATCATCATTTCATTTTTGGTTATTCTATTTCTGCTATAAAAACATACATAATTGTCCATATAAGTTAACAAATATCCCAGTATAATCACTTGGGCAGAATCCGATGAACTAAATTTCCGAACAAAAGACCCAAAGAAATAGTAACCAATTCCCTTCAATCAACCAGAAAAAGCAAACTTACTTCCAATTCATTTCCAATAAACTATATACTCTAGAAACTCTTCATATCCAAATGATAAATTTTAAGTTCCATAAACATAGCAATCAAATTATATCCCCAGTTTCAATAATAGGAATCAAAAGGAATAAAGAAGAAAAAACAAAATTACCTCCAAATCGATATCCAAAGTCTCGGCGACATGTCGCATGATAGAGTGAACAAGTTTACTCTTATTGTACCTTTCTTCACAAGCCTGAATATCTTCCTCGCTAACTCTCCTCTTACTCAAATCGATGTAACCCTTTTCCTTATCGACACGGAGGACCATCACCGGCTCGGTTCGGCCGACCTTGATTAGACTGCTGACACTACGAATCCGACGGCGGGAAAGCTCGGAGAACAAGATCATGCCTTCGATGTTGTTGTATTCAAGGAGCGAAACGTACGCACCCATGTCAGCGATGTTCTTCACCTGTATCATCACCGCCATATCCACCTCAGGATATTTTGCTTCGTACATACGACATTCGAGGTTCGGCATCTTCGCGTAGTTTAGCTTGGATCTTTGAGTTTTGGGGATTTCGTGGTTGAAGATTAGGGTTTTAAGACGAGCTTCACGACTGATGAGATGCGTTCTCTATCAACACTAGAAACGAGATTCTTTCTCCTCTCTTATATTATATCAGGGTAAATTACACTTATGACCACTTAATTATGGAATAATGTTATTTGGATCTTTTAATTTTATCAGTTGAAACAATTAACTATATAAATATTGTCAACCAAGTCTTCTATAGTTACCAAGGGTGAGTATATAATTGAGTGGAGTCAAAAGATTTCGATATAGTCAAGTTAGTAAGTCATATTTTATAACTCAAACTTTATTTAAAAAAAACTCAAGTCAAATTGTGTTTGAGTTTTTATTTAAATTTAATTGTAAACATTTATATTATTATGGTACTAATTAATTTAAATTTAAACGATTTTCTATAATCATATATGATATATATATATATATACACAATCATGCATACTTGAGGGAGTCAACTACCATCAATCTACTAATAACTAAAAATTTCAAGTCAAATCATATTGTATAACTCAAACTTTATTTCAAATAATTAAATCAAGTTGAATTTATGAAATTATGAGTCGAATCAAGACGAATTGAATTTTTTAGCATCGAGTCAAGTCAAAAAAATCATTCTTTTTCAAAATCAAATTACTTTTACCTCTAACGATTAGGATTGACAAAATTTTAATATCACAATTAACAAAAATAACATAATTATACAATTGATTCTCATTAATTCAAAAAATTACCTTATAATTTGGTGATTATAAAAGTATATATCTTCTCTCTTTTTTATTCGACCAACGCTTTTGGGAGACTGATACAATCTAGTGTTTTATAATTCAAATTTTATTTGAATTTTTTCTAGTCGAGTAGAGTTTATGAAATTTGAGTCGAGTTGAGTTGTTTGAGTTTATTTTTAAATTTAATTATAAATATTTATAATATTATGATACTATTTGATTTCAAATTAAACAATTTTCTATTATCATACATAATACATATATATTTTTTCATATGTGATATACATATATCATACATAGTTAAGAGACTCAACTCAAACTTGAAAAACAATTTATTAATTACTAAAATTTTTGAGTTATTATTCAAGCTGTTCGAGTTTCATTTTATAAACTCGATTAGCATATAAAAAATCGAGTTAAGTCTGATTTATAAAGTTAAGAATTGAGTTAAATTTAAAAAATTATGAGTCAAATTAGTTCTAGTTGAATTTTTCAAATTAAATTAAATCAAAAAGATAAAAAAAATTGTATTTGTGTTGAGTTTTGTTGACCCTTACAACCTATTAAACAAATTTTACACATCAACTTCTTCTCTACTCATGGCACAGCAATTGCACTGCTGAAGCTGATGGAGTCTGTTAGATACCGTATAAGTGCTATTCCTCTGACTTAATATTCCAATTCTATTCTTGAAAATTAAATAAGAATAAATCCTTATCTAGTACTTTTTTGATACAAAATGGAAGTTGTAAGGTCTATTTATTTATTTAATAATTTGAAGTAATTATTAAATAATATATGTTTAAAATATTTTTTAATTATTAAAGGGCATTATTTAAATCTAAAATTTTTAAAAAAATATTCTTTTTTATTAAGATAATTTGATGCGCTCTGTAAGATCTTAAATTAAATTATATTGATCATTATATCTTATGTAAACTCTTTAATTTTATTTAAGGAGTATAAAAGTAATTTAATTCAACTTTATTTACAAAATTATAATAATAAAAGAGAAGTTTCCTTGGATCAAGGTTGTTCAAAGCTGTAATGAATATATATATATATGCATGTTTATAGGGTTAATGCTGTCTCCACATGCTGGTTATATGGAAGCTAATCATCATTGCACATGTGAAGATGGAGGGTAATTTAGTCCTAAAAGAGTCAAGAAATTCATGGGACCCAGAACACCACCAACATGTGATGGGACACGTGGCGAACTCATGTGGTGAGCTCCATGAACTCAGAATCTGGTTCCTTGGGTTGCCGATCATAGCCTGTCCTTTTGTGTGTGTTGGAACCAGAAAAGAAACCAACAAAAAACAACTCGAGAAAGAAAGTGCTACTTTGTGTTCAACGCATTGGCCAATAAGCTTATCAGTCTTTTCCCTTTCTCTGCTGATTGAGAAATTTGTCTTCTTTTGTTTATATTGAAAACAAATAAAAAAGTTCTAAACTTTATGTCCTTTTTCTCATGTAAAAAAAAAAATTCAGGGACTTTTTCTTTTTGTAATTTCTGTGAACTATGTTGTTGTCTTGTCTTCTTTCCCAGTTTAGATTCAACCAAGTTGTCTGAAATTCAAAATTGTATCTTTTTACTGTTGCAGGTCGTTAAGAAGTTTATGTTTGGTGAATAGGTTGTCTTCAGACAATTGATGTCTTGTCTGGTCCAAGAATTTTCTACAAATCCATGGATTAGATTGCAGAACTGAGAAGGAAGATAATGGTAACTCGGTATTAGTTTGTCTAATTTCCTAGCCCCTTTTCCGAATGGGAATCGCCGCTGTCGGAAACATCCACCTCCCTGCAGTTAGATTCCGCAACTGTTACAAGGTACTATGCCTTACAAAGACGATTTTGGACACGACACAGATATCGAATCTAAGAGATCGGTATGTTCTCGGAGGGCAATTAGGCTGGGGACAGTTCGGTGTGATTCGGTTCTGTTTGGATAAGTTAACCGGCGATGTTTTCGCTTGTAAGTCCATCGCTAAAGATCGGTTGGTGACACCGAACGATTTGAGATAGAAATAATGACCAAGTTATCAGGTCACCCTAACGTTGTGGATTTGAAAGCAGTCTATGAAGATGAAGACTCTGTGCACTTGGTCATGGAGTTATGCGCAGGAGGTGAACTTTTCCACTTGCTTGAGAAGCACGGAAGGTTTTCCGAGTCCGAGGCTCGTCTTCTGTTCAAGCATTTGATGCAAGTAGTCAAGTACTGTCACGGCAACGGCATCGAGATTTAAATCCAGAAAACATTCTCTTATTGACGAAATCCTCAATGTCTCCAATCAAACTCGCGGATTTTGGTCTTGCGACTTACGTCAAACAAGTTGAGGTATCACGTATATTGCACGGAACCGTCGGGAGCCCGTTTTATATAGCACCAGAGGTTTTAACAGGGGGGTAAAATGAAGCTGCTGATGTGTGGAGTGCTAGGGCTATTTTGTATATCCTTTTAAGTGGAATGCCTCCTTTTGGTGGGAAGACTAAATCAAAGATATTTGACGCTGTCAAAGCTGCTGAACTAAGGTTCCCCATTGATCCTTGGGATCACATCTCTTTATCTGCTCGGGATTTGATCATCGGAATGCTTTGTGTCGATCCTTCTAAGAGGCTCTCCGCTGCTCAGGTTCTCGGTAGGTCGACCTATCACCATCGATGTTATTCCGAGTTACACTCGACGGATACTGATATCTAATTTACTGCTCTTCACAGATCATCCATGGGTGGAGGGTTGCAGAGAATTGACTCAAGATTGCAGAGAGCTTGAAGTGGGAGGAAGGTCATCTTCCACATTGTTCATCAAAAGAAATCAAGATTATACCTTTAGTGATGGATCATTTTTATCTTTTAATGGAAAATCATCTTTCTCTTTCATAGTTGAAAATGGCAGTCCTTCTGCAGCAGAGTTGTTTTCATCTCCGATTCCAACGGTGCCGAGCTTTACTTTCTTCAGTCCAATATCTGCTGTTGAACCACAAAACGCCGAGACATCGAAAATGAGTGACGAACAAGGAGGTATTTGTTTACATTTCGTTCTTGCCTTGGAATTGACGAGTATCTAGTGTAACACTATGCTTGTTCTCTATTTCATTCCACATAATCTAACTTAGTAAAGATATCTACATTGTCAGATTCTTCGGATCCAGTGGAACAAAAAACAGAACTCCGTAAGGGAGGACTACTTAATGGATCCCAGATTCCAGGCATTCATAGTAAACGGAATCACACAATCGGTCTCGGGGAGTTCAATCACTTTGATCACATGGTGACCGAGTCGGTAATCCGTTGGGCATCCTGCACTCATATTCCTACTGCACCATCACTTAGATTATCACTAGTTTGCTAGAAAGTGTTTATACAAAGATTGACCATACTGCTGGGCATAAGGGAGCAAACTGAAGCCTCGGTGTCCAGGATCGGGATAAAAAGAGTCACCGATACTGAAATTCGAATTCCGGACCTTCGGGTTTAGGAGAAATATGTTTGCTCAGGTCTGTTGTGCTGTGTGAGGATTCTTTTCTGAATTTGAAAGAAACTGGCTATGTATAAAGAGTCGCAATATGTAATATACAAACTACTTATTCATGTCTAACAATTTGCAGTGTAACATGAGAGAAACATTTTTGATCCATTATTCGTTTGTAAATTCCTAATTTTCGATGAAAAAACCAGTTAGAATAACATTGCAGTAACGCGGTAGCGGTAACCAATAACTTTATCCATTATGCAGCCTATTATGCATTGGGTTCAATACGGAAATAAACAAAAAATGATGAAAATTTTCACCTTATTGATCAGACCAAGGGATTGTTCTGTTCATCTTTTCCAAGTTCTACACTTTCAGCTTCTTCAGAAGAGGGTTCCGGATGATGCTTGGCATTTACATTTGATGTCGGAATCCTGGGTGCCGGTTTACTATCCGACAACATCTTTAAAATGATTCACATGGCTATGAGCAGAAGCCCTGATCCATGCTGTTCGGTTAAAGGTTTTGTATATATCATGTATGACAGCAACAAAGTGACAGCCTGCCTAGCAGTTGTTATCTGCAAGCAGATGAAACAAGAAATCTAGCAGTTAGATGAGATCATGAAAGAGTTTGAGGCTTTTAACCGATATATCTAAAGCGATTATAAGAACCGCCCTTTACGATGGAAACATTGCAGCAACGAAGAGAGTTATGAGGGCTAAAACCGACACTTGACCGATGAATGTGGCCACAGCTTCAAACACCAAATCTCCATACACATATATATTAAAGCAACAAGAGATAATGGTAAATAGAACACTGGTAGTTTCTTGTTCAGGTCACATGATAAAAGGTTATCTTATGCACCCATGGCCGTGGTCGCTGGCAGAGGGTCTGCAATGTACCTGAGAACAAGAATTCCAGTCCCGAACGAGCTTGCCTGTTAGAATCATTGGCACAACTAAGAAAGGAGTCCCAACTATCATCGAGCAAAACAACATTTCTATCAGTAAAGGAAAATGAATAAATATGCAATACGATATAAAACTATCAATAACTTATTAGTGACTGTTCTTGAAGTTCAAACCCCTGAGAAAATAAATCGAATCACTCCATCCCCAATGGAAAACCTGAATAAAGCCAACAAAACAGATGAAAAAAGGTATTCAAAAAACAGTTCCACTGCTTATTTTATTAAGCTGAAAAGCTACAAATGCTAGAATTTTATCATTAGTACAAGAGAAGTATAAAAAATCCTTTTTTTTTCAAGACTTGTTATGTTTAGGATTTTATCTCGTTCAGGCTATGTTTTTTCTATCAGTGTCATGTTTACCGACGACATTTATGGTCATTTTGAAAATGGAAACGATTCTTCTATAAAATCCTAATGACCTCTCCACCGTCCTTGCTCTAATACTTGTTTCCGCTCTAATACCTATTATACATTAAAAGCTCTAATACCTATCTCCGCTTTAATACCTATTATACGTTAAAGGCTCTAATACATGCCTCTGCTCTAATACCTGTCTCCGCTCTAATACCTATTATACGTGAAAGTCTCCTCTGTTGGAGTTCTCTCAACAACAATTTATTTCTCGCTCATCATTAATGGAGATATCCATTTCAAATATCCGATATTCACACCCAAATTCCGAAATCCGAGTAAGTTCACTGAGACGATGATCGAAAGAGGAAATAAAAGTGCAAATTTATTAAACAAATGGAAGCAAAATTTATACACAATTTTCTCTTTTTTAAGTCTCTAACCCTCAAAAAAACCAGCTAGAATACTTAACCATACTCACCTTCATTACACACACACACATATTATGCACTGCAAAATATAAGCTAAACTAAATTGGTTTACTAGCACTTCAAAAACCCTTTGTGCTTTAACCTTTCCCTAAATTTACTTGGATATATGACAGCAGAGTCTAAACATAGACCACCCTTTGTATGCGTGCAATCTATTTGAGTCATAGATAGCTTGATCTTCGTCCATGAATTTGAGTTCTCGACATTGAAGTCTCCCATATGGTAGTGAAACCATTTTCCGGGTTCGTTCAAAGTGCACTGAGATGTAGCGTACTGGCCATCTGAAGTCCATAGTTTAAACCTTACGGGTTTTATATCCCAACCATGGATGTTCTCGGAGTTGATGATTCTACGACCAAACCTCTTAGAGGCACGACCTAGCTGCAGTCTGAAGAAAACACTATAGCTTCCTGGTGGAAAGGGAAATTCCACCTCACCATCAACTTCGAACCACCAAATTTGCTGGAGATAAGCGGTCGAATGGAACCTGAATCACACAAGGAAAGGAGATTGAAATGAATATCCAGCATTCTATTTCAACACTATCGATCATATCAATCATTCCCAGTTCCCACTTCCAACCAAGTTAAAGCTCGATCCTTGTAGAAATATCAAGTATGATGAAAATTTTATATGAAGGTCAACCAGAAATGAAGCATTACGTAATTCTTGACTCTAGGTAGCATACAATCCTACTAATCAACTTCGTCTCAATACTATTTTAACAGTATAGATAAAAGAAATTATGCTTTGGCATACATACATAAATAAATACGTACGGTATTTGCCAACTACTAGCAACTGCAAGGGCGATCATCATCATCATGCAAAATTCCTATTTAGACAATAAACATCATCGTGCATGTATTAATGGAGATTGGATTACATCGAAATTTAACAGTCAAAACCAACGAAGAAGAACATACTTTGGATCAATTCGGCACGAAATGCCCCCGAAAACTCTTGATTATGATCAGCCAATCTAAAAAATCCTACCATTTTCAATCAATTTAACATGAAAATCCTCACCTAGATTCATCAGTTGGAATGTGATTCCAGTATCTTCGATCATCAATCCCCGTTACATGTAATCCCTTTGAAGAAATTGCCATACATACACCACCTGTGCTCTTATCTAACCATACTTTCTGGAAAAAATAAAAAATGGAGTTGAGAACAAAACTAGATTCTTACTCAGATTTGCTATAATCTTTTGAAAAAATCATAAAAAAGACCAAATCCCTAAATAAATTTATCGAAGACTTTATGAAAAGAATCAATTCACAAAAAAGACAAATACCCAGAAAATTAAGATCCCAGATTTTCTCGGCATCCAAACAAAAACATACCTTGGTGCCACCATCAAGAGTATTAGTTCTACAGAGCCTTGAATAAATATCTCGTTTACCCAGATTTTCAGGCACAGAGGGTAGAATTTTATCAACAAGAAGTTGATAATTTGGTGGAAGTTTCGATTCCCAAACAAAATCAGCCAAAGAAGCACATCTAAATGCTCTGTTCAACTTCGCCAATTTACAAATCTCCGACGGATCCAAATACCCAATAATCGATACCAAGCAGCTCTCCGGTAAATCTCCCAAACTAGTCGATGAAGAAGAACAAGAAGAATAAGAAACAGATGATAAGCAGTCGGTTATGAACAAAGCAGAGAAATTGGCACCCATCAAGAGAAAAACAAAAGAAGAAATTAACCACACAAAAAAAGAAGGAACAGAGAACTAGAAAGTTCTAAGGCATAGTATTTGATGTTTTTATAAAATAATAAAAGAGAGTGAGAAACAGAGAGGCGGCAAACATGGACGCGTGCTTTGATTTTGAGGTGCTTTGTTCTTTGTTTCTCTGTGTTTGTATATTATTTATATTTATCGATGAAAAAGGACGACAACAGGACGGGGAAGATTTCGGTGGTATTTATCTAAAAATCACTCTATTTTTTATTTACATGTATCGTTAGAGAAAATTTTGCGAATTTAACACTCTTTATAAAAAAGACGTATATCATTATTCGTGTCTTATCTCACGTTATATTAGTGTAAGATGTGGATAATGATTTATATCTTTCAGAGATGGGTGTTAGATATGTAAAATTTTATAAAACGGTATTTGATATATAATTAATTTATGTTAAGATGATATTTATGTAAAAACGTCACTAAGGAATACATTTTGTTTGTTGGAAAAAAAAGATAAAATTTAATTAGTCAATCATTTTTATTTATTGTCTTCAAAAAAAATTAAGTCATATAATCATAAATCATTAAAATAATGACTCAATTATTAAAATAAAACGAATTAAAAATATAATAATAAAAAATATTTTTTTAAAAATCAATAATAAAAATAAAACATATTAAAATATTTGATATAATTATAACCCATGTATTTTCAATTATTATATTAAAAATCAATTATAAATTATGATAAAATATTTTCGTTATTATCATCATCATCGACCAATTATTGGAGTATATATATGAGTTATAATTTAAATTAATTATGTATTATGCTATTATTCAAATTAATTAAGAAAAAATATGATAAAATATTTCTATAAGAAAAATATAAATATATACATGAAAATCTAAAGATTTTCCTTTCTTTTGTGTTGCTCTCTAAATTTGTAACAAAATTCAATAAAAAGAAGAAGATTAAACTAAAAACTAGCACATATATATTTAAAATATTATTTCTAATATTAATTTTAAAAGTATTAAATTCTAATTTTATTAAAAATGGATACACATTATTAACTGTTATTAAAAAATAATAATTAATGAATAATAATTAATTTGATCTCTCAATTATAATTAAAAGTTTATTTTAATATTTTTTATATTTTTAAACAATTAATTTTAAAAGTCACTTTTTTTCAAAAATATATGAAAATTATAATTTTTTAAATTATAAAATATTCCTCATCATCATTTTGTAAAAGAAATACTAGTTATAAAACTTTTATAAAATTATTCATATTTTAAATTACTTAACCTCAAATTTTTCTTATACTAGATTATACGTATATAATTTTGAAAGGGTAAAAACTATATTAAAAAGTGTGAAGTGGTAATTGGTAGACATAATTGTATTGTGTAATTTCATGCAAAAAAAACCAAAATTTGTCGAGTTGTAAATAATTTGCAAAATAAGGTTTAAAGATTTTAATGCATAAAAAAGTTTTTTTACATAAAAAAGATCAATAAAATTGACTTTTTTACACAAAAATTACCCTAATAAAAATTAATTACATGTTAGGTATTGATTTAAAAATTATGAATCTAACACTTATCACAGAAATGCACGGATTATTATCTGTGTCTAACCACATGTGACATCACATAAGCGTAAGACACTAATAAAATAAGGTATTAGATTCATAAAATTTTATTTAACGGCGTATGACTCGTAAATAAAAAAATAAGGTGATTTTCCCATAAATACATAAAGATTTCGTTTTTTTTTTCTCTTTGAAGGTCTATGGAGAAAAGCTGTCGGCATATTAATTAATAAAATAATGTAATAAAAATTATAATCATAAAAATAATATTAAATAGAAAATGTGGATAAGAATTCACCTTAAATTTTGATTTAAGTTTGGCCCACTGATTAATTATAATAAACTGTAATTAATATCTTGTTAATTGTAATTATGTAATTCCTATAATTTATAAATATGTTTAGTTGTTTAATTTTTTATTGTTATTGAATTGTAAATTATTTTTAAAAAATTATCGTTGAAAAATGTTATGGAACTATGTAGTTTATTAATTTAAAATATTTGACATTATTGTTAAAAATGTACTGTGGAAAAAATAAATTTTTTATTTTAAAAATTAATATTAGAAATTAAAAGATAAGTTAAATAATATATTAAAAATGTTTTTATTTTTTAAAAAACATTTTTACAATTAAATTTACTTTTTAACACCGTTCCTTATTATTTTCGGTATAAAAATATTTCTAACTCTAAAAATTAGGTTAAGAATCAAAGTTTCATTATGCGAGTACACTATTCAACCTTTGAAGACATGTAGGACTCGATCAGGTTAACCTATAATATCCAACAAACAATCAAACACAAAAGTTAAATTTATCCGGATAACCATCAAACACAACAGACGGTCGTCGTACAAAAATTAAATTTATTCCCCAATTTTTCAATAACCGTATTTAATTCATTCAAGAAAAAATATATTTTATTTTAAATTATGTTTTCAAAATGATTATTCTGAAATTGACTCATAAATAATTTTAATACAAAACTATCAACCCTAAACTAGTATGGTAAATATATTTTCCACATTTCATCGCTTAAAGATAAAATAAGTATTTCTACTTGATGCAAACTCTAAACACTAATATTACAAAACAATGGTGCACGTTAATCATATGGTTAAGCATTTGATTGGATGATTTATGTTTGATTAGTTTGGTTTGAACTATTTCACTGACAAATTTATATATTTTAATATTTAAATTTGATTAATTTTATTAATTAGATCATTTTACTATTTAAATGATGTTAATCAAATTACTTATCGTTAACATTTTGATGGAAGAGTTGACGTGATAATCAATAAATTGGTATAATTATATATTTGGTCATCAATACTTACACATTCTATCGATTTAATTATAATTTTATTTTAATTAAATAAATTTAATAAATAATATGTCACCATCTAATTAGAGGATTGCTTTTTTAAATTGAATTAAAATTAGGACCAAATTCATAGAATACATAAGTATTGAAAACCAAATGTGTAATGATACTAATTTTATTAACTATCACATCAAGTCCTCTGTCAAATGTTAAAAACGGATGACATGATTGATATAATTTAAATAGTTAAATAGTCTGATTGAAAAAATTTAAAAATTCGTGATCAAATTAGAATCTACATGTAGTTAAGTGGTCATGGCATTGGCAATAGTTTACTCTTAAATTAAATAGGATGAAATCATAAATATAAATAAAAATATTATTGTATAAAAATAAAAATAAGAGTATATTATTTAAATGTTATCTTCTAAGCATAAACGGGACGAAATCTTTAGTTTCGTTGCATTTAGATTATAATGCCTTAAGGTAGTTTTGCTTTTTTTGGTATAATAAAGATTTCTTTCACCAAAGAAAAAGAAATTGCAGAAAAAATTTCAATATTTTTCATTGATAGTTATTCAAAGCGACAATATTTAAAATAAAATGTTAATTTCATTTTAATAGTATGATGTAATTACAAGATAATATTTATTTATATTTATTTTTTTATTTTTTTATTTTTAGTTTATTATTTTTAATGTAATAAATTTACCTTTATGACGCATTTTATCTTTTTCTTTATGACATGTTTTCTTTTTTTCATTGTGATGTTTTTTTTAGGGATATATCTCACGTCACCTCGACTAATCAAGATGAGCTTATTTGTTATCATGTTGATCTTCTCCGTTTTGAGCCCTCAAATAGGACTTGGCTACATAATTTACTTTTTCAGATAGTTTTCTCACGATACTCTATTTTAATTTACGGTTTTCGATGCTCTTTCAGTAGTTTAATCTCATGTTATAGTTCGTTTATTGATACAATTAGATTTGTTCATATATGTCTTTTGATCGAAGTTTTTTTATGAGTTTTAACATTTTTCTTGTATGATCTCGAGTGACTAATTTATTATATCAATGATTGTAGGAAAAATATTTTAATTATATATTTAATTTACGAATTCATTATAATTTCTAATATTTTCTTTTTAAAAAAACTAATTGCTCTATTTACATCAAAAAATTAATTTAATAAATAAGTATCAAAATAATTATTTAATAAATTATCTATGATTTAAATTTTTGGGCCATAAATATAATCGATAACAATTGTAAACATTAATATAAAATCATTTAATCAAATAATACGATAAGAGGCGCATGATAGTGGGTACGAGAAGGTGATAACTCAGAAATGACATGAAAAGACAACATTTTCACCAACATGTTTTAGTGGACCAAAATTTGCAAAACTATCCTCCCAATGCGTTTTCATGCGTGTCTTCGAAATTTTTAATAAAAGGGTAAAATCACTAATAGTCGTTAAACCTTTAAGATACTATCACTTTGGTCATCAAAATAAATAAAAAATCATTGGAATCACTGCTGTTCAGAAATATTTTTATTTCAGTTACTAGGTTGTTAAACTATTATCCACAGAGCTAACATGCAGGGATGGATTGGGGGCAGTCGTACTCTGAAATTTTCAAATTTTATTATATTTTGGATTTTTCTTTGTGTATTTTCTATTGATAATATGTTTTCGCCTCTTAAAATTTTAAGTTCGCTCATCTTAACATAAAAGCATGTGTCCGTTCCTTCTAACATGACATTAAAAAATTCTAAATTGACAATCATCATTCCTCCTTTCGATGTTGATTTTGTTGTTACTTAGTGATTTTTTCGATCAAAAGGATCATCAAACTACTCTTCTTATTATGTTTCTTTCATTTGGTTCAAACTTGTCAAAAGAAAAAAATAAAAACCTTCCAATCTCCTTGAGTCTCAATCAAAACTAAAAGTTAAAACTTTCAAATAAACTAAAAGTTTAAATTTTTTATTTTGCATTATTAACTATCAAATCAGCTTGCAAACAAAACATTCCTATTATTTAGATTAACAAACGACTTTTTCATTCATCGAAAACTTGACCTTTACAACAATTTTTAATTTGAAACCTTGAGATTTTTTAGAGTCTTCTATCATAATGAAAGCGAATCAAAAGTTTTATGTTTGTAATGCAAGTTTGGTGACTAAAATGAAAGCATCCTAAAAATTTAATGACCATCATTGTAGTTTATCTTAAATAAAAAAAATATCATGTTTAAAGGTTTGAATTTGATGGGTGACAAAAACAAACATCAAAAAGCGAACAGATTTGTTTCTTCCCTTGTTATTTCTCTGTAGAGTAAAACAAAACTAGGATGGTGACAAAGAAGACCGGACGACAAGATTGATAAAGCTGATGTAAAATAAATATTGGAATTAGCATGGCATTCATGACAAGTAATGCGGCCCTTTTAATATCATAAATCACTCCACAAAGCAAAATACTAACCACTCACTCACATAATTTGTATCCTAATCCTGAGATTTCAACCAAACAGAAATCTCCATAATTTCAATGAACTAAACCTCCCTACTACTTTTTCTATAAGATTCATATAATAGTTAAAGATGTTATTAGATCAACTCCAGAAATAGGGCTTCTTGTTTGTTTGTTAACCCGAGTTCACTCAGTGTCAAACTGCTCTCCTCTTCGCCGAAAGCACGCCTCGGGTATGGCCTCACCTGTTGAAAAGGGTTAAAATCATGTGGGAAATATTCCTTGAATATGTCTCGGGCTCAGGTGTGAGTGTCGGGACAATGTTAAAAAAGGAGCAACATAGGTGAATATTGTCCTCAAATGGTGAAAATAAACCATGCATGCATCTAGATTGACATGAAGCCAAGAACAATATGGAACTTGGTAAAAAGCTTGGGATGAAATTTTACCAGTCGATAAGTGCCCGGCTCGACTCCTCTTCCAATATCTATGAAGTCATATAGAGACTGCAAAGCAGAACAAAATCAGGTCAAGTCTTAAAATCCTGCTGCACAAGGAAAGGTGGCAGAAGTGAACTTTTATTCAGAAATTTACCTGCAGCCTGTCAGACTTGAGAAATAAACGGCCTCTACGAATGCCATCAGGCATTCGCACTAGAAGGTTTACAGCATTTTCCTCATTGGATGATGGCTCCTGGGGTAAAGAAGCTTCTTTAGCAGCTAATTGTCTCTCACATTCCTGCAAGTAAGAATCACAAATGATGCAACTCAGAACCAACAAAACTGAACATCAACAGTAATACTATTCAATCAAAGCCTAAATGCAGGGTGTTAGCATGATCTAACGTTGATTGCAAAGAAAATTAACAAACAGATGAATTTTTTTTCTAGTAAAGAGAGCCCTAAATTATCTGAAAAATAAAATGATTTTGTATCATCTTCCATAAAGATATCCATGAGATGACTTGAAAAAAATATTAACAATTTGTTCATTTACAAGCTTGTTTTACTTCCAATACAAGTTTACTGGTAAAATCTTAATCTCCCCTAAAAAACATAAAAGCAAACATACAGAGAATGAGCTTATCGTTAGGAGCTAAGCCCAATTTACTGATGATTGGAGCATCATAATTAAGTACCTGTTTTCTTTGATCTTCTTCAAGGACAGCTTTTCTAGCAGCTTCCTCCTCTAAATGACAAGCTTCAGCTTCTTGAATTGCCTTCAACTCCTTTTCTCTATCAGATTGCAATGCTGCATTATACTCATCATCCTGAAAGCACCATGTGTGTAGGCAACTATTAGACCATACTTCTGGCCCAAAATTAGAAATATATAACTTTTAGTTAGAGCACAAATAAAAAGGAGAAAAAGAAAAACTAACTTGTTGTTCCCTAATCAGGCGTTGAGCAGCCAAAGAGGGTGATGGAGAACGAGGGGTATGCCAGGGATTGGGGCCCTCAGGTCGAATGAACTGATGAGGTGCATAGGGAAAACGATATCCATTTTCAGGTATTCCACCAAACATTGCAGCCTCAAGCATGATTGCCTCATCATGTTCCACAGAAGAGATACCTCCCCACTATGACATGGTACAAAATACAAGCCAAAATTTAATTTAGTAAAGGACATAGGTGAAAGGAATTAGTTAGAAGAGAAACTCTTGAGCAAATAAATGGAATAGAATTTGGTTGTCCCTTGTTCCCATATGTAATGGGGTAAGGGGGAGGTAAGATAGTAGGCTGCCCCCAACACTAGGTTGAGAGCAGCTTCCGTAGGAGACCTCCAAATTATGAAATGCCCTCCATGGGACTCGATCCCACGATCTCAAGGTTAAGAACCTTATACTCTACCAACTGAGCTGGATGGTCATTTCTTATAAATTCTCATGTGGCTTCTGCAAAAATTATACAAGGAGTAAACCTCATCAGAAGGGAACGCATTTCCAATGTTCAATGGGAGACTCCCAATGCCTTGCTGTCCAGGACTTGATGGTGGGCTGGCCTCAACTCCAATTTCGTTTGCAGATTCCCCTGAGCCAGATGATATTTGTCTAGACCTGTGCCTAACTAGAAGCTGCTCATTCTTATCTTCAGCTTCATCTTGAATGGAAGAGCTTCCTTCAATTAACCTACATCAATTCAATTAGCCAGATATAGAATTAAGGCATATAAACTTAAAAGTTCATAATAATAACACAATGCCTATCACTCAACCAGTGACAATGACTCTACCTCCCATTTGAGGCTGCCATGTTTACAAGATGCTGCTCTGCGGGTTTAGAAGCTTCTACTTCTGATACTCCAGCACAGGAACCCTGCTCACGCAACACCTTCTTCTGCTCTGCTGTCTGATTTTTTGCATGTTAGACAAAACAAATAGATTATTGTAGCAATATGTGACCTGAACGAAGTACAGCAACCAAACCTTCAAGGACATTGAAACTGCTTCTTCAAGTACAGCATCCTCTGAATGAGACATATTATGCCAAGGCCCAGGATCACTCGACTCCTGCACAAACATGAAAAGGCAACCCGTAAACAAGCATTTAAAGCAGTACAAGCCCGAAGAGCACCACAACAGTACAAAACGGGAAACATTCTTTTTTGAAAAATAAAAACTTGCCTCGACATCCCGTTTGGAGGCCTCAATGGCAGCTTGAATCATTTGTTCTTCAATGTCATTGCCATAGTCTGGCAAATTGTCAAAAGCAGGAGCACTGGGTGTCAAATGTTGGTCATTAGAGTTATCGTTCTGCTGCATTGGCTGCACAGATGAATCCTCATCCACTTCATTAATTATAACAGTCTCATGGGAATTAGGGCCATGAGCTTGTGCAGTTTGAGGGACATACTCACTGGCAGGAGCATTACTAGAATGACCATATAGCTCATTGCTATTCTTAACCTCTATCAGTGCCTCTCTCACCTCCCTTGGGTGTGTAACCAATGGATCATTTGGTACAACTTCAACTGGATCATCTATATCCATGGCGTCGTCTACATGAACTGCAGTTGATGTTGACCTTTTGCAGGAAACATAAAAATATAAATAAATAAAAATTGCTATAAACCTATAATTACACATCATAAAAAAAATATTAGCACAATGCACAACGTATACCTATCTCCTTCACTGAAATGTGCATTTACAGCTGTATTGAGATCCCCAGCATACTCCTGACTCCAAGTGAAAAAATGAGTAGATAACCAAGAGATGTCATAGGCTTATAGCTGACTCGACTTTATGATAAAATGAAAAGAATACAAACTAACTCTAAGACATTGCAATCAAACAAGAAGTTAATTTGATAACAAGCAGCATTTTACAACAATTTCAAGCAATTGTCTTCAGAAATACTCGCAAACAACAAAATGAAAACCTAAGAATCTGCTATTTAGAATCAAACCTCAATTCAACCATCACATTGAATGAAGATCACTCAGGAGTTCAGATGCAAAGAGAGTACCAAAGACGAACATGAGCTTCAAAACATCTAAATCACTAACCACATTCACTTACTCCTATAGCTTACTGTGTTTATAAGAGCATGGCTATGGAATGGAGGTTCAAACAACTTGGCCATTATCATCAATCAACATATCATACATTTTTGTAAAGCCATGAAAAAGAATAAAATTCCAAATTAAGAACATTTACAACTTCAGCCTTCCCCCTTTTCTAGTGTCTAGTTAACCGTCCAAATTCTTTGTTATTTTTCTTTTTTCAAATAAGCAAATTCATTTGACTAATATAAGTTACATCCAAATGGAACAACTAATTGAAAGAAAAAGAATGAACTTTTCAACTTATTCATTCGAACCTTAAAGTAACCCTTTGATTATAGCCATTGGCTAAACACCTAATCCAATTACAACAAATTAAAATTCAGTTTTCTTCAACAAACGAATGAAACGATAACGAGCTAAACCAATAAAAACTAAAAAAAATTAAAGAGAAATTAGCCGATCATTTATTAACCTATAAACAGAAGCCAATTCGATAATCAAGTAAAAGAAAAAATGTAAGCGAAACGAAATTAATAGTTTCTAATCAAAAAGTTTACAAAAACTACCTCAAGTTTTGAAATGGCAACAGCTTCGGATGCCCCAGTGATGCTGATGAAAGTCTCGATTGCTTCTTGATTAGGTCTCGCCATTGTGAAATTAGGGTTTCCTTCTCTTAATTTAGCCTTTTTTGCAGGTTATAATTTCAGTTTAAAGTAGAGAGAGAAAAAAAGAGAATTTGTTGTGGAAAACTTAGTTTGGAGCAGTCATGAAGCAACAGGTCATTTTATATTTGTTTGGGGAAGAAGATTGTAATTTCCTTTGTTTTTTAATTTAGGGTAAATGTATATTTGAGTACCTGAAATTAGATTTAATATTCAATTTGGTATCTAAGAATTTTTCGCGTAAAAATTACACTAGTACATGTTGAAAGTTTTAAAGACGAAAACTGAATGGCGCACGTTAAGCTCTTCTCTCTCGGTGCATATTAGCTGGGCTAATAGCGATTGAAGTCGTGGCATCTCCTTCGATTCTTGTTGTTCTTCTACAATTTCTAGGTATTTTCTGGGGGCTTTGCTAGGTCATGGAGGTCAAGGATGCCTCTGATTGGAAAAAGCTCTTTTCGGTGGGGAATGAGCAGGAATTAGTTTTCTTTCCTCCTTCAATGATCAAGGGTTCCTGCGTAGTGAAGCCATCTCGCTACGTATTTGAGGAAGGAATTTTGGAATGGAGATATGCTCTGCTTGGCCAATTCATTAGTTCAGCACCGAACTTTGCTTCTCTTCAGAAGACTGTTAGTTTATTATGGGGTAAGCAGTCTCCGGTGAAGGTAAGTTTAGTTGGACCAAATCTTTTTGTTTTCTCATTCGTTAATTCTTCGGCTAGGGATTGGGTTTTAGAGAATGGCCATTGGCATGTTCATCATAAATCAATTTACCTTAGGAAATTGGAACCTAACTTGAAGGAGCTGAGTTTTGATTTACATTGTGTGCCTATTTGGATTCATTTGTATAATGTTCCATTGGAGCTATTTTTGAAGAAAGGGCTAAGCTATATAGCTAGTGCAATCGGTAAGCCCTCCACATGGACTCGATTACTACTAATAGAGAAAGGTTGGAATATGCTCGTGTCTGTGTAGAGGTCTCGGCTGGATCTCATATTTTGAGCTATATAGATGGGACGTTATGTGATGAATCTATAACCAAGGTTAAAGTCTTTATGCCTTGGATGCCTAATTCTTGTGTTGATTGTGGCCTTTTTGGGCATTTGGTGAAGTAATGCCCCCAGGGGAAAAAAGCTGAACAAGCTTGGAGGGTTAAAGTTCCTGCTAAGGGTGTTAAGTTGGCATAACCTGGTTCTGAAGGAGTGACTTTGAACACTCTGGGACCTGTAGGTTCTAAGGTTGGGTGCTCGATTGCTCCTGCCTGCTTGGATGGTTTTTCTGACCCTGTTAGTGATAATGTGGATTATCAGGTTGTTGGTTCTGAAAATGCAGTGATTTCTACTGCAGATGAGGCTTCTGCTAGTGTATCGGTTACTGTTTATAAATCAGATGGGGTCTGTCCTGGGAACTTGGTTGTTAATGAGGTGTCAGTTGGGGTTTGCAGTGATAACATGGTTAATAGTCTAGCATCATATGGGAATTGTTCTGGTAACGTTGCAGGGGCTGACCAGGGATCCAAGCAGTCTGAATAACCTATTCAGACAATTGATCTTCATGTAAAGCGTGGCAGGGGCAGGCATGTTAAAGTTGATAAATCTGTAGGAGGAGGGTCTAAAACAAATTTGACATTCTCAACTCGATTGACCCTGACAGCTTGATTGGAGTCCCTCTTGTAGATTTTGGTAAGAAGCAGAGGGGGCTGTTCTGGGTGTTGCAAAGATTGTGCAGGAACTGAAACTAAAAAATAAAGAGCAGGTTGATAAGGTTAAAAAAGCAGAGGAGATAGGTGGTGCCTCCTCCTCAACAAATTTATCATGCTAGTATGCTTCTGGAATATTAGGGGATTCAATAATCCCCTAAAACAAAGCATGGTGTTGAAATGGGCTAATAGGCTTCATATAAATATCCTCTGTATTTTGGAAACTAGAGTCAAGGAGATTAATGTTATTGATATTTTGTCCAAGAAATTTGAGGGCTGGAGTTTTTGTTGTAACTATTCCCATGTTGAGAATGGCCGAATTTGGGTTTTATGGCATAAAGGTTTGGACTGCTCCATCTGTTCTATTTTCGAGCAGTGTATCACTTTCAAAGGCACCTTTGGTGGTAAATTTTTCATTATCGCGGTGTATGGTTCCAATGATGGCATTTCCCGCAGGCAACTTTGGTTGCAACTTAACAGTATTGACAGTTTTGTGGATGATGTTGCCTGGTCTAATAAGCAGCAAGACTCCTTTCTTACTCGCAAACTTGACCGAGTTCTGGTTAACCATTGCTAGGCTGAGGCTTTCCCATCCTTGGAGGTTGAATTCCTAGCGCCTGGGGAGTCTGATCACAGTCCAACTTTAGTCTGACTGCACAAAGAAACTGCTATAAATAAACATAAGCCCTTCAAATTCTTTAACTTCTGGGCTTTGCATCCATATTTTTTATCCACTGTCAGTGATTCGTGGCAGCCTCCAGCTATTGGGAATCTAGCCCAAGTTATATTCTTAAAATTAAAGAGGTTGAAGAGTTGTCTTAAGGATCTAAATAGAGCTCATCTTTATGATATTTCGGGGCAAGTGCAGGATAAGAGGGATGACTTGAGGTATATTCAACTGGCCAATTTAAACACTACTACTGATGGCAGCCTCATCATTGATGAACTAAAGATAGAGGCGGAATTGAAGGCCCTTGAGTAGATGGAACTTATCTTCTACAAACAAAAAGCCAAGGCTGACTGGATTAGAGAATGTGACTAGGGTACCCGGTTTTTATACTCCATGGTGGCTAGCAAACGGATGAGTAAAACCATTAGAGTTCTTTATAATCAAGATGGTGTTAGACTTAGCACATTCGATGACATGTCTAATGAGGCTATTAACTTCTTTAAAAAGTAATTGGGGGTGGTTGACCCCGAGGTTAAATGTTGCAATGTTAACACTATTAAGGAGCTTCTCGGTTATTCCCTTCCTGTGGGTGTAGCTGAGGCTTTAACCAGAGAGATATATGATGCTGAGATCAAGGAGGCCATATGGGGACAAGGGAATAATAAATCTCCCGGGCCTGATGGGTTCAACTCGTTCTTTTTCAAACGTGCCTGACATATAGTGGGAAACGATTTCCTGGTAGCTATCAGGTATTGCTTTACAAACTCATTCATACTCCATTCCTTCAATGCTACAGCTGTTGTGCTTGTCCCTAAGGTTCCTAATTCGAGCATGGTTAAAGAATTTAGGCCTATTTCTTGTTGTTCTGTCTTATATAAGACTGTTACTAGAATCCTAGTGAATCGACTGTCTGTTGTCTTCCCTAGCATGATTTCAATGAATCAATTGACCTTTGTGAAAGAATCCTAGTGAATCGACTGTCTGTTGTCTTCCCTAGCATGATTTCAATGAATCAATTGACCTTTGTGAAAGGGAGAAGCATAATTGATAATACCCTATTAGCTCAAGAATTAGTTAGGGGTTACTCTAGGAAGAAAATTTCTCCAAGCTGTGCCCTCAAAATTGATTTACAAAAGGCATTCGATTCTTTAAGCTGGGATTTTGTGAAAATTGTTTTGCATGTTCTCTGATTACCTGAGAAATTCATAGGCTGGATCTTGGCTTATATCACTAATCCTAGCTACTCTATTGTATTCAAAGGTAGTCTAGTTGGTTATTTCAAGGGTGCTCGGGGTGTTAGAAAGGGTGATCCCCTTTCACCTTATATCTTTGTCTTAGCCATGAACGTTTTATCTAGCCTACTTAACATTGCTGCCAAGAAGGGAGTATTCAATTACCATCCTAAGTGCAAAAAGGTTGGGCTCACTCACCTTTGCTTCGTTGATGATTTGCTTATATTCTGCAAAGACTCTCTGGATTCTGTTATTGATGTATAAGCTGTTTTAGACTTTTTTTACTCCATGTCTGGGCTAAAACTAAATGCTAGCAAGTGTGAAATCTTCTATGATGGGATTTCTGTTTGTCAATGTGCTGCCATCAAGGAGATGATAGGTTTCAAACTGGGAAATGGGTTCCATTGGTTACCAGAAAACTCACAGTGAAAGACTGCCAAAGCTTAATTGAGAAGATCAGGCTAAGTTAAATTTGTGGGCCAACAAGCACCTTAGTTTTGCGGGGATACTGCAATTGATCTGCGCTGTACTGTTCAACATGGCTAGTTTTTTGTGCAGGAAGCTCATCCTTCCTAAAGAGATTATCAATTCCATCGACCAACTTTGTTTTAGGTTCTTCTGGAAAGGGTCTGACTTACCTGCCAGAGGCGCTCGGGTCAGCTGGAAGAAAGTTTGCTTAATGAAGTCGGAAGGTGGCCTGGGGGTTCAAGATATAGGCGAGTAGAATAAAGCCTGTATTGTTCATCATATCAAGAAACTTTTAGCCAATGAGGGCTCCCTTTGGGTGGCCTGGATGCGTGCCTATGTGATCGGAGTGCTGACTTTTGGCAGATGAGCATTCCTGCAAATGTAAGCTAGTCATTCAAGTACATTTTGAGAATCAGGCCTACTTTTCTTCATCTCTTTGCTGGCCCGATTCAAAGCCTGAGTATTAGAAGCATCCGAGATGATTTGCACACCAGTTCCCCCAAAGTCTCTTGGCAGCATCTTGTTTGGTTCCCTGGGCGTATTCCTAAGCATAGCATTATAGTGTTGATGGCTATTGTTAATCGTCTCCTTACTAGTGTTAGGCTTCTTAAAATGGGCCTCAACATTGATAATGAAAACTGCCTCATGTGTGGTGTTGTGGCTGAGTGCAGAGACCACATGTTCTTTGGATGTAATTATGCAAAGGACTTATAGGGGTCTATCCTTACTTTGTGTGGTATGTATAGAGGCGTTTTTGGCTAGGACAGTGAACTGGCTTGGGCAATATATTACCTTAAGGGCAAATCCCTCATTGTGAGAATATTTCGGCTTGCCTGGGTAGGACACGTATATAGCATTTAGAGGGAAAGAAATAGCAGACTCTATGGGGCGAGTGCTCGACTAGTGGATGCTATACTGCAGGATATCAAAATTGTCGTTCGGATTCGGTCGATGGGGAGTAGCATCAACAGATCTGACCCACGTAATGCAGCTCTTTGTGATAGTTGGGGCAGGGGTTTCTGTCCCCCTGCTACACATATTATATTAGCTGCCTTGACTTAACTGGATATTGATTATGTTATCATATTTATTGTAGTTTGTTACTGTAGCAGTTTTCTGCTTTCTTGGGTAATGAAATGGAATTATCCAAAAAAAAAATCGCTTATCCAATTAGATACTTGAACTTGACTTTAAAGTTCAATTTGGTATCTAAATCTTTTTGTCTAATTAGGTTCTTGAACTTAGCTTTTGGTTTTTTTGGTTCAAATTAATAAATGCAATTTTTAACTAATTTAAACCAAAAAAATCAGATCAACTACTGATTTAAACCAATAATACTCAAATTTATGTACTGATTTGGGTCAAAACCCCAAATTAGAAAATACCTAATTGAATAATAATAAGAAATTTGGTACCAAATTGAACTTTGAAAATGAATTTAGGTGCCAAAATGTAAATTAACTCTAATTTATTCTTCTTCAAAGATATTGATTGTGAGTTTCTCCGATATTTTTATGTTTTCTTGAACCGTAAGAAATGAATTGGTTTTTCAAAAGACTGTTTAGGTAAAGCAGGCCACGACATTTTAAGTTCTTGCTTGGCATAAAACACGAAAAACAATAATATAAATATTAAAACTACAAAACTATCCATATTTAACTTATATTCGATTTATTAATCAATTAATTCGAATTAGATAATATAAAGATTTATTATAAGGACAACATCCTAATTTAATTTACTTTGATCACAATATTAAGGTTTGAATCTATTACATTACTTAAAAGATATAGTGTTTTATCAAACTAAACTAACGGATTATTATTACTTACACTGATTTTTTGATTGACTTAAAGTAAAAAAAAATCCCTAAACTATATATATTTTTTGTTTTAAGCCTCTAAATTATTTTTTTGTCAAAACAAGTCTTTCAACTATTATATATAACCACTTTAGGTCCTACTATTTTTTCAGTTAGAAAATATTTTTCGGCTAATGAGATGTTGACATGTTACACAAAATTAGATAAATATTTTGACCGAAAAATGGTTTAGGGTTTTAAAGTAAAAAAACATAGTTTAAGGATTTATTTTTAACAAAAAAAACATACAATAGTTTAAGGGTTTATTTTGAAAAAAAAAATAGTTTAAGGTCTTAAAGAAAAAATATATAATTTAGAGACATTTTTTAGTTTAAGCCTTTTTAATATACAACAAACTAACATTTATAAAATTATATATTTTCAAACTCTAAAATTTAAAAACTAACGTTTAAATTCTAAACTTTATATCTTAGAGGCATAATATCAAAATTAACTTCTAACATTCTTCAAAATGATTGTTTTCAATCCTATTCTTTTTTTTAATATTTGACATCCAATATTTTATTTTATGATAAAAAGACCCCTAATATTTGACAAAATTATCACTTTGGCCTTTATTTTTTTTTTCTAGAGCATTTTGACCTTCAACGTCTCGTTTTAGGGTAAAAATGCCCCTATTTTGGAGCATTAATCGTGTGTTAACTAATGGTTTCTATCTATAGAAGGGGCAAAAGCCCAAAATGAAATGTTGAGAGTCAAAATGCTTCGAAAAAATAATAAAGATCAAAGTGATCATTTTGATAAACATTAAAGGCTAATTTTGATATTAAATTCTAAACATAAACTCCAAATTCTAAGTAAAACACGTATCATTATATAAAATTTAAATCTAAATTCTAAATAAAACACATGTGATTAGAGTAGTCAAACTTATAATAATATATGCAACAGATAATTTTTCTAGATAAAAAACATTTTTTGTGGATCCACCTATGCAACAGATTCTAAAGCACAAGAACTTGTTCATTGCCTTGGTTCCAAATAATTTTTCTTTGACTGGTAAAGTAATCCAAACTGATGGAGGGGTGAGTTTCAATTGGGTTTACAACATCTTGTGGCATGCCCTTATACCCATTAACAAAATGGGGTCATTGAGAAAAAACGTCAATAGATAATTGAGACCGCGTTGTGACTTCTTGCCCAAGCCTTCATGCCAATCAACTATTGGTCACAAATTGTATTGAGTGCTACATATGTCATCAATCGACTATCGACTATCGACCAAGGTCTTAGACAATATATCACCTTTGCAGAATTTGATTGGGAAGCAACCTGTGAGAATGGGGCCGTAAGTGGTAGGAGATATGTCGGATGGTAAACGACAGACGTATGTGATGGAAGAGAAAAACGACTGTAAATGTGTTTTAAGTATAGGTTTTAATTGAAATGAATATAGAGATTGCATTTTGAATGAAACATATTACAATCCACAACTCAGGCCACTTACAATTATTATGTTTTTATAATCCAAACTCATAATCAACTATTAACAAACTTAACAAATTATCTAATTGGTTAACTAATTAATCTTACGAAATTCATCCTGCTCTAAATTCTTGATTTTTATGGTTAATTCTCGTACAAAGGACAGAAATAAAGTACGCAAACAAAGTGATGCAAACAAAAAATTCACTTCTTTCTTCTTCATCATCCACGTAACATCATTTATTCACTCCTCTCTTTTTTTCAAAGCAAGGCTGTTAGGCTCTGAGCCTCTAGATGCATCTGAAGCTCATCTTAAGCAAACAAGTATTCCATTTTGTCTACTCAGCTTTCCCCATAAATTTTCTTCTTCTTCATTCATTGTTCCACTTCCTCATTCCCATCTGCATGGTAGCTAGGCTTTTAAGCTACTAGCTCTTGGGTGTAGTTAAAGCTCATTTTGAACAAGAAAACATCATGTCGTCTGATTAGTGAACAGACAATGATCAAGATACGTTATTCTCCCCAAACTTTCTCCATGAAAACTAGGCGGTTGGGCTTCTAGTTCATATGTTCTGTGTAGAAGAAGCAAACAGAGTGAAGAATTCTAACAAGCACCTTTTGAAACAATCCAAAAAACGTTTGAGTTGTATTGGAGATCGACTTTTCGTTTACATTATGTAATTAAACTAATACTTAAAATATTATGTAGTTGAATTAGTACTGAAAAGTAATGATGGTTGTCAATAAATATCATTAAAATATAATATTATTATATCTTAATCAACATATTAAGATTCAATTCAGATTTTTAAACATAAAATGACAAAATATATGAATGATTGAACAATTATTTTATAACTTTTAATAATCAAAAATTTAATAAAATAATATTTTATAATCCAATTATAATTTTATAAATTTTAATAATTTAAAATTTTAATAAAATAATATTTTATAATCGAAGAATAATTGTATAATGTACCCAAATTTTAATATATTAAATTAATATATTATTGTACAAATTAAGGTTTCGGTCTTAAATGACGAACCAAGAATTTGACTTTTACTTCAGCAGCTCTTGGAACAGAGGCAAGCTCAGTATCTTCGTCTTCGCTCTCAGAAAACGGTTCAATTGGGTACCCGATTAGATCTTTGATGTTCCCTCCCGTCTGTGCCTTTCCCGGTCCGCCCGGACCCGGAAATCCAAACCCAATACTTCCACATTCCGGGTTCCAGGCACGTGGTTCCTCGGAAACGCTGCCGTTGGGACTGCGGTCCTCTCTCATCATCCTCGTCATCATTGTCCCGTTGATCTACAAGAATATTTGATCATTTTCCAAGCTCCAACCACGTGGAATCCTGATCATCCGTCTTTATATCCGACGGCTCTCCTTTAACTTGAGAACCAGGCTTAACTTTATGCCGCTGTACTTGATTATTGTCGAGCTCCTCATCCTCACCCTCTCGCCTCATGCGTTTCAATCCAATGGAAACTCCAAACAACATCGGCGTCGCATCTTCCCCCATCTCCTGCTCTCCATTCTCCATCTCCATCGGCGCCTTCGAGCCACCATCCTCCACCGCACTCACCGGTAAAAGATCCAACCCTTTATCTTCCCCCACGTTCTGATGATTCTCCGGCTGACCCGAAGCATAGTTCGTTACCAAAGTGAATATATTGTTACACAATCCCCTCAACCGAGTCAACTCCTGGTTCAGCTCTACGTTTTCTTTCCTAAGCCTATCGTTCTCCTCTAAAAGCTCAGGCGTCGTCGTGCAACTCGTGGTCCTCTGTAGAACGGTGGCGACAGGAGGCGGGTTAGACGAAACAACCTGCTCCTCCCCCGAATTAGACGGTGATGCTGATACCTTAGTACAAGGAACCGCCGCAATGGTCACTGTCCCAGAAGCAACAACAGCACCGGCTGCAGTTATTTTCCGGCGCAGTATGTCTCGAAGAGGCCCTTTCTCGCCTCTTCGAAAACAATCGTTAGCGAACTCCCATCGATCCGGCACTACCTTCCTGAAACCCTAAAATAATAAGAAAAAAAATTAATTATACATTTAAAAACAAAACTTGATTAAGCTGATAGTTGTTATCTTTAATGCTTACGTATGTGTTGAGTTGGCGGACGAAGCTAGAGAAGTTGTTATGTTTGAAGTATTTAGGGAGCAAATCACGGGCGAACTCAGCAGGGCGCCAAACGATGAAACTCGATCCGTCATCATTCCATGAAATCAACTCATCAAAAGAGGGATCATCGACGAGTTGATAGGTTTTCGTAAGGAACGGAGTAGGTAAAGATCGTTGCGACTCAGTAGCAGTACCGCCACCGGCGGGGGAACCGCTAGGTTGGTCGGCCGGCAATGGTGCCATGTGGTTCCGTCTTAAGATCCGAACCCTAGAATACAGGATTTCTCCGGCAACAGAGATTCTTTCGGCGCGCCTTAACTGGTCAGTAATTAAACTCCAATTACCCAACTCCGTTTGGTATCCGAGAAAGTGCGAGAAAGAAAATAAATACTCCTACCTTTGATGTTTCTAGTTGAAAATATATAGTTTAGCATAACTTATTTCAGTTTCAGAAAAAGATTAACACAATTTCCAAATAATATGAACAATTTATTATCATGTAATCTTTTTATACAGTATTAATTATATACAGACATATTAACATTACTTCATTTATTTCAGATCAAAGTATTCAAATCCAACTGAAAATAATAATAGTAAGATGTTACAGGAGCATCGAAAGCTAGTAATTCTTAATTTCTTACCTGAAAGAAAGCGAGAATTTTCCAAACAACCAAACAAGAAGTAAGAGAAGTGACTCATTCGATCAGAAACATTTGAATCAAAGGGTTTCAACGTCGTGTACGGAATGATGACGGACTGACGGCGAGTGACGGTGAGGGATCGGCGGTTAGGTTTTGTTGTTAGTTCTAGATGGTTCAGGGTGGAGTAAATGATAAGGGGAAAAGGCAGAGAAAATGAGAAAAATGGTGGATTCGAGAAGGAAAGGGAAATAAAAAAAAGTTCTTTTTAAAAAAAAAATTTATAAAAAGGGGAAAAAAACGTAGAGAAGAGGAGAAGTACATGGGACCCACGCGCACTGTCCGAAACGGAAGGAAGGTGCCAGAAGCAGAAGAAGGGTGCCATTTTCTATTTTTTTATTTGTTTTAGTAAATTCACTTGGTCATCAAATTATTAGTTTATTTTTATTTTAGCCACTAAACTATTTTTTTTTCAATTAAGACACTAACATTAGTAAACTTGATCGTAAACTCATCATTTTTTAATTTTTAAAGATATTACTGATGTGGACTAAATTAATACAAATATTATATATAAAAGATTAAATAAGTTGATTCATTTTAAATTATAATCAGATGATTATATGTACATTTAATGAACATTAAATATGTTATTATATAAATTTTAAAGTTTTTATGTCATTAATTTCATTATCCAGTTAGTGGCTAGTGATTTGGTTGATCCTTTCCTAACATTAATGACTTAATTGAAAAACAAATATTTTAGTAACCATAATTGAAATATCCTAACAGTTAGTGACCAATAAACTAGTTTTTTCTTTTTTTTTCTTTTTAGTTGGTCTCTTCGAGAAACTTTCCTTCTTTCATCTCGTTGCGTTCCACTAGAACAGTAATCCTTCTTTCATCTCGTAGTTGTCTGGTAAAACAGTAAAAAGACCAAATTAAATGGATTTATTACAACGTGACCACGTAGTCTCTCTCCGCGTCGGAATGGGTACGGTTGTCGGATTTTACAAGCTTTTCTTTTATCTATATAGAAAAGTTTTAAAATTATTTATTTATTTAATATAAAAAATATTTAAAATACACATTTTTTAATTTAAATGTTTAGATTTTCTTAATCAATTCATGTGTATGATGTTACCAATATTATTATTTAAAGAGAAAATAATCTCAGTGACCAAAAATCTCAGTTAATATACGATTTTGACTAATTTTTTTTAGATTTACGAAAATGACTAACAAAATCACAATGCGATCTCTAATTCGCATTGCGATCTCCACTATCGCAAATTCGCGTTGCATTTCGCGTTGCGATAGTTGAAAATCGCGTTGCGATTTTCCATTTCGCGTTGCGATTTTCCAGTTCGCGTTGTGATAGTCTACAGTTGTCGTTGCGATTTTCCAAATTCGTTGCGAAAATTCGTTGGGATAGTTAAAAAAAAAGATTTTGTTTCTTAAGAATTTTCTCTAAAAAGATAGTATCCGCGCGGACGTGTCAAAGACACGTATTACCACGACCACGACCACGACCACGACGGTGGCGCGCGAGAGTCCCCCTTGTTCTCTATCACTCAACAAGGAAGTGGAAAAGCCAAGCCTTAAATACCATTCTCAATAGTGTTTCCAATACTATGTGGGATTTAGCATTACCAACACTTGTTTCCAATACAATGTGATTATTCAGGAAACAATTAACAATCATGCACCTTAAAACAACTGAATCAGCAACCAATTGCATTAGTATTATACGATTAAATATGTCATAATTAAAAGTCAATCTACAATCAATCGCGATTATTGCAATTTTAAGTAAAACATTCAAAAATAATATCACTATTTAAGGCTCAATCCCACATAGTATTGGGAACAAGTGTTGGTAATGCTCAAATCCCACATAGTATTGGAAACACTATTGGGAATGGTATTTAAGGCTTGGCTTTCCCACTTCCTTGTTGAGTGATAGAGAACAATGGGGACTCTTGCGCGCCGCCGCCGCCGTCCGTCTCGTCTCGGGTCGTGGTCGTGGTCGTGGTAATACGTCTCTTCGAGAAATGTCTTCGACACGTCCGCGCGGATACTATCTTTTTAGAGAAAATTCTTAAGAAACAAAATCTTTTTTTAACTATCGCAACGAATTTGGAAATGTCTTCGACACGTCCGTGCGGATACTATCTTTTTAGAGAAAATTCTTAAGAAACAAAATCTTTTTTTTAACTATCGCAACGAATTTGGAAAATCGCAACGACAACTGTAGACTTTCGCAACAACAACTGTAGACTATCGCAACGAATTTGGAAAATCGCAACGACATTATCGCAACGCGAAATGGAAAATCGCAACGCGATTTTCAACTATCGCAAGGCGAAATGGAAAATCGCAACGCGATTTTCAACTATAGCAAGGCGAAATGGAAAATCGCAACGCGATTTTCAACTATAGCAACGCGAAATGGAAAATCGCAACGCGATTTTCAACTATCGCAACGCGAAATGGAAAACCGCAACGCGATTTTCAACTATCGCAACGCGAAATGGAAAATCGCAACGCGATTTTCAACTATCGCAACGCGAAATGCAACGCGAATTTGCGATAGTGGAGATCGCAATGCGAATTAGAGATCGCATTGCGATTTTGTTGGTCATTTTCGCAAATCCAAAAAAAGTTGGTCAAAATCGTATATTATCTGAGATTTTTGGTCACTGAGGTTATTTTCTCTTATTTAAATAGCTCAAGTGTAATAAATGTTAACAAAAATTTGTCAATTACTCAAAATATAACACGTGACATATTTATAAACTTTAAAAAAATTATTTTAAAAAATTCTTCATTTTTTAATTGTTTAATGAAATTACTGATGTGGACTAAATTAATAAAATTCTTATATATAAAAGATTAAATAAGTTGATTTATTTTAAATTAGGATCAGATTGGTTAAATGTATTTATAATGAATATGAAATGTGTTATTATATAAATTTTAAAGTTTTTATGCAATTAATTTCATTAACCAGTTAGCGGCTAGTGATTTGGTTGATCCTTTTCCTAACATTAATGTCTTAATTGAAAAAGAAGTTAGTTTAGTAACCATAATTTAAATATCGTAATAGTTGGCTGACCAGTAAATTAGTTTATTCTTTATTTTTTTACTTGATCTCTTCGAGGAACTTTCCTTTCCGTCTTTCATCTCGTAGTTGTCTGGTGGGTGAAACAGTAAAAAGACCAAATTAACTTATGAATTTATTACAACGTGACCACGTTGTCTCTCTCCGCGTCGGAATGGGTATGGTTGTCGGATTTTACAAGCTTTTTTTATCCATATAGTTTAAAATTATTTATTAACTTAAAATAATAAAATACTTTAACCCACAGGGATTATTTAAATAGTAAACAATTTGATATTGTTTAGTTAAAATCTCGAATTCGAATCATTATATATATAGAAAATATTGGCTCGGATACCCATCTATAAAAGTTAAACGTGAGATACAAATCTATCTAGATTAATCAAGGTGAAGTCTTAGAACTGGGAGGGCAACAAAAATAAATAATAAAATACTTAAACTATATTTTCTTTATTTAAGTGTTTAAATCTTTTAGTTAATTTAGGTGTCTCACGTAATCAATATTATCATTTTGGTATCTTAACTATAATAGACGTTAAAAAAAATTGTCAACCACTTAAAATGTAACACATCGTACATTTATAATTTTTTAAAATTTTCATTTAAAAAACTGTTATGATTATCATAACAATTAATGACAAATAATTTTGATTGAACATGAAAAATAAAAACATCGAAATTTACTTAGAAAATCCAAAAAAAAAAATCATGAGCGGAAGAGAAGAAAATTTTCCTATGAAAAAAATAAGATTTTTTATAATTGTTATCTCACAAAATCCTAATCCATACTTTCTATTTATACGGATCAATCGGATTATACTGCTTCGTAATATACTTTATGTTTGGTTCACATTGCATGTATTTTTCATACTATACTCCATGGTTAATTTATGTTATTTGAATATATTTATATATACGATCATTGATAGGTCTAGTTATAATTGATATTGTAGACATTTGTTTTTATCCGGGAAAAAAATATTTATTATTATTATTATTAATTTATATTATTTTGCAGCCCTCCATGCAACATCTCACAGCAATCAACGACACCCAACTTGTGCTGAAGGAAAGGACTGCTGAGTCAACTCAACATCAGCTGAGGCATGATCTAAATAGCCCCAAGTTTAACCCCCACGTATCTCAGCTATTCCACTACACCCCTAAAAATCCGGCCATAATCTTTAACCATTACATACTGCTTCCTTTCCCCTATATATTCAACAAACACGCTGCTTTAAAAGGGGGAACCACGGTGAGAAAAGGGCCTCTTTAGGGATAAAATCACAGCTGAAAAGTAAGCAAGAGCTGGAAAAAAAAGGAAGAGACATTTACAAGCATCCATGGGAGCGAGTAACTTCGGCTTCTCGGCGTAAGTTCGCTGATCCTGAGAACAAGCGGACGTTGTCTCACATACTTGAAGTTGACACGTTGAATCATAAACTTGATTCTCTCTCTGGTAAGCTCTACACTACACGTGCTCTTACCATCCTTGCTCCAGGGCCATGGTTTGTTCGCAAAATCATCGGCCAGGATATCTGCCACTGTGTTGAATCAACTGTTGTTGATGCCCAATCTAAGTCGATGCAACTCATTGGATTCAAAAATTATTGGAATGATTTCATGATGAAAGCTGATACCCAAGTTTTCCTGTTCCGGAACAAAACTGCTGAGCACGATACCATTGTTGTTTGCTTCATAGGAACGCGACCATTTAGTGCCGATGATTGGTGTTCGGACGCCGATCTGTTTTGGTACGAATTCAACGGCATCGGAAGGATTCACAGTGGTTTCTTGAAAGCTTTAGGGATACAAAAAAATTGTGGGGGGCCTTTCAATTTCCTGGCACTAAAGAGATAAACAATGAACCGGACATCAGCAAGGGGAAAACAAACTTGAACCTGCATGAACACGGAATATCCACAGGCGACAGCTATCAAGGCGGGACTATCCATCTGCGGTCCTCCGACCCCTGCACTTTGACACTGTACGGAGCTTCTTCAACCCAGAAGCGGTCGGACATATCATACGATGAGTCAGCAGCGAGGATATGAGCCGTCGAATTCACTGAACGGGGAACTGCTCGGGACTCACATGCATGAAACGATTTGGCTCGATTCTTCAATTCCCAAATGGGTGCACTAATTTCAGAGAAGTCATTCTCTGGAGAAGAAGCCTTGCTCTCGCTTCCGCCCTGAAAGCTGAGGGCGTCAAAATGCACCTTCACAAACGACTGAGGTGGAGCCTGCCACCGCACAGGAGGAGTCGGTGAGGGAGTTCGAAGTCTCCTGTTAGCAACAAAGAACTCTCGGCATTGGGTTCGAATCAAGGTGTTATAAACGGTGGTCCGGTGCTTCTAGACGATCGAATCCACGGCGTGAGTCGACGATCGAGACTCACAAAGAATTCCTCGATGAAGATCATGGTCCGGTGGTCGTTGATCATCACGTATGGTACATCAACACTGTCGGTTTACAGCCGTCTGTCATTGATTCGATCGATGTTTTCAAGTATACGAAAGGCGATGGTATCGTCGATGGAACCGAGTGCTCTGTTTGCTTGACCGAGTTCGAGGAAGACTAGTTGTTTTAAATAGAATTGCAAATGCATTAAAAGGCTTTTTGTTGCGTGAGATTAAGTGGTTTTGAACTTTGGGTAAACACTCCATATGGTACTTCAACTATTATGGGTTTCTTTTTTTACTTCGTTTATTTTACTACTTTTAAAATTTTACTTTTTTATTTTATTTTATTTGTTCCCTTTCATTTATGTAATATTTATTTATTATTTATTATCTAACATTTTTGACTTTTTAGGGAATATTTTTTAATCGATCAAAGGTAAGTTTTTTTAATCGAATTTTTAAATTTTAATTTTAAATTTCACAATTAAAGACAACCGACAAATTAATTGGTACCGAAAGGGCGGTTCAAGGGTGCTAATTCTTCCTTGACCGTAACCGACTCCCGAACCTGACATATTTATGGTAAAATGCAGATCAGGTAAGATGGTGTCCGGTCAACCTAAATGTTATTTTTTAATGATCGGTGACTACTCTAAATCATTTTATTTAAGTCGAAGCCTAATTCTGGACAAAACCGAAAGACGGCCGCAACAGACATGGTAAAGACTACTTTGACGTTATGATATAGTCAATAGATAATATTGTTATAGAAAACATATTATATTGTAGCAAATTTTGAGTTTATAATATTTTACATTTATTAGAAAACATATGTTTCCCAAGAAGAAGATTGTTGAATTAAAATTTGTAATTGTAGGTATATATGTATAATATACAATGATACAAAATTAAGTGACCAATTATGTTACATGTGCCATATGTAATAAAGTGTCATGGAATAAAGTGTATATACTATAAATTGTACTTATAATTTGATAAGGGACAAATTATAAATACTTAAAAATTAATTTAATAATTAGTTATATAATGAAGTAGTGGTCCACAAGAAATAAATTAATTTGTATTTATTTTTATAAAAATACATTCTTAAAAGATCAAAACTAAAATAATCAATTTCAATATATTAATAGATTTAGGTACACCTTCGCATTTAATATTTTATTTTTAATGATTTTACATTATAAATACTCGATTTTGATTTTATATCAATATCTTTTTGGTTCTAACGCAATATACTTTGATTATAAAAAAGTTTGAAGAGCAACCACAGCAGATAGAACAACAGAGTATTTATTTTGATAAAATTTTATCAATTCTTTGGTCTAGCTTAGTGATTAGATGTTTTGTGTTAAAGTCCCGTAAAAGCTAAAATATGAATTTTATTTTAATTAAACAAGATAGTGTTACATATTGGGGTTTTTATCGAAATATCACCCTTAGATCTAATAATTACATGTCAGTCACTCTTTCCCCTAATATTACTGATCTAGTAAGGCGCGGATGGGGCCTTCGCTGAATCTCTGAACGTATGGAAGGCGCATATCATATATACACATTGAATTATTGATACTCCATTATTACTCGAGCCTGAAAACTCAGCTTTTAAACGCTCACCTCTCCTATAAATAACAACCTCTCTGAATGCAAATATCACCACACCAAAATTACTTGCTTATTCTCTCTTCTACTAATTTATTCTATAAAGTTAAGTAGATTTTGTTATTATTTTTATAAGATAAAACAATTTTTTATTATATTATATTTATTTTATGTTTAATTATTTGAACAAATTTTATTGTATTGATTATTTTGTATTATTTTTTGCATTGTAAAATTGGAAAGCGAAATCATACCTCGAGACATTTTACCGATACGATAACAATATGAAATTATATCATTTAAATTTTTATGAAATTTTTAATTTTTTTGATTAGTTTATATTTTAATTCATATACTATTTATTTAATTAGGTGTATTTTAGCTATTGTTTTTGCAGATATAAGACTCTCAATCTTTTAAACTCTCAAAATGATGTATTTCAGCTAATGTTTATTATGATTGAGAAATTCGGGAAGATGAAATCGGCGTTGTCTTCGCATCAAATCATTCTGTAGAATATCATTCAACAGAAACATCACTCTTGAGGAGTTGATCACTAAAATTTCAAGGAATGTTCATGTTGGAAGTACTAGAAGAATGTCATCACTTTAGTACAGATTTCCAACCGCATTATTTTCGTTAACTTATACAATGCTCGAACTCTCAAACTATGACGATGTTGTTATGATGGTTGATTCTCAGAATCAATATTCAGAATCTGATACACAAATGTATGCGACATTTGTTGAAGTGCATGTGGTTCGTGGTATGTCATTATGTTCCCACTATGGACTGACTCAACAAGTTGATCAAGTTGGCAACTCAACTCAAGTAATTTGTAATAATTTTAACTCGTTAATGGGCAATCCACATCATGATGTCATCCCATCAAGTTTAATGGGGAGATATTGATCAACAACTTGTTACGATCTGTATCGATATGGCTCCACAAACAATCTATATAGGAACATCGCTTCCAGTTCAAGGGGAAGACATTCATCTGCCAATTTCTTTGACCTAAATATGGAGATGTCATTGACACAACAATCTGTGCAGTACCCATTTGACACGATGCCTTCAAGATCTAGGGGGAGACATTCAACTGCACCAATGAATGCTTCCGCCTCGTGCTTCCTCAGAAAATAGTAACGATTTCCAGTTCTTGTTGAACCACATGATATGCTTCAACAGTCAGTCGACTTCTTTCCCCCCCTCCCGTCTATCGATGATATGCATGTCATCGAGATTCTTAGGTGATTCCGGAATAGATTGTACAAAACCAAATTGGTGGTGCACGCGATCAGTAGGATGCCACTCGACAATAGCATAACATATCACAGGGATCACTGTCATCAGACATCTAATGAACCTCTCAATTGATGTGGGATGCAAATCCTCATTTCTTCAGTAGAATAAGGAGTCCATTGAAAATAAATAAATATTTATAATTCTTATCAAAATAATATTCTAATTATAATACGATAATTAAAAGTAAATAATAAAATTTAAATACATTCCTCTATAACAGTCTTCTGATCAATGAGTAGCTGAATTTCTTCCAATTCATCCAGTAAATCCTGATGATATTTTCTTGCACTTGACCACCTATTCAATGAAAAAACTTCATTATATTCTCAACAAAATTATTTATATACAAATTTAGTATTGAAATTACCTCAACAATAGTGGGAAGACCAACGGTTTTTTTTACGACTGGACATAAAAAGGGCATGCGATACTACACCCAAGACTGGAGATGAAGGAGACATCCGCCGATAGCATTTTTTCGATAATCAATTGCTAGACACATTTCCCTATACATAAATTCCAAAACTGCAGAGCCCCAACTGAGTGCGCCGGCAACGTGAAAATCTGCAAGGTGACGCAACCACATACAATGAACTTGGATGCGCGAATTGTCGGGCATCAGAATCCCTCCTATGAGCTGTAATATGCAAACCCATGCATACACTTTAACTTGTTCCTTGGAGGCGTCGCGACTCAAATGGTTAAACGTTGTATCTAACCAATTTAACGATATTCGACTACCGTTGAATTTAGGTGGGACACCTCCATGATACTCCTCGCACAATGAATGCCAGTCACCATCCGCCACCCAAGAAATCACATCCCCATATATCGAAAGCCCCAAATATATGGAAACATCATCTAGCGTAATAGTGCACTCCCCACACATAAAATGGAATATGTGTGTCTCTGGTCTCCACCTCTCAACCAGTGCAGAAATAAGGTTGGTTCAAGGTTACAATGCCCTTTATATTTCACTACATAACCGAATCCAGCATCGGCTAAATACGACTAGACACGAGTAGGTATCTTTAACTTAACATTACAAATGAATTGATCTAATATACAATATTCCTCCTAATTTAATAAATAATGTACAAATTAAAATATAAATTAATACTAAACAATTAAATAAATAAAATATTCACAATAAATAAAATTACAGCACAATTTAAAATTATTACCATATTAGTAAAATGCCTCGAGATATTATTCACATCTAAACGTAGCAACCCGGCTTCCATTTTACAACTGTAAAAAGTAATAAAAAATTATTACAATAAAATTTAATAAAATAATAAATTATTAAATAATTATAATATGATAAAAATATTTTACCTTCTTAATAGAAAGATTGATAATAGGAAGAATGAGAGAATTTGAGATTTGAGTGTGGTATTTATAAGAAGAGGGGAGAGACGAGTGGTAATCAATGTGGGAGACGAAGTGTTGGGGAATTAAAAGAAATGCGCGGATCATAACCTGCACCTTCCGTACGTGTCAGAGTTCAGTGAAGGCGCGGATGACC